AAACTTGTTCTAACCCTTACTTAAACTTATACCAAATCAAGTAAGACTTTTTTTTTTATCCAAATTAAAGAAGATTCAAATCCTTACCCAAATCTTTAATGATAAGATTTCACCCTATTTTAAAGATTCAATGATCATTTTTACTCTCATTTAATTTTGGATTTGCCCTAATTTAAATTTAGGTTTCTCATTCTTTAAATTTGAGTTTGTCCATTAAAACTATTTGTATCAAATCAAGCTTTATACTCAAATACTAACTTAAATTTGAGTTATGGTTAGAGATACTCTAATATGGATTTATAATGAGTTTAATCTGGGAAGTAAACAACAGAGTATCTTCTTCTCCTACCCATTTCTTCTTCTTCTTCTTCTTCACTTGCTGCCATTGATGTACTGTCTCTGTACTCTTCCCGAACTCAGCTTCTCTCTCTCTCTCTCTCCCCCCTCCCTCTCCCCTTTTTCTGTAGATAAGTATTCAATCACTGTCCTTTCTGCTTTCAACCAAAACCTTCATTACCAATTCTGCTTTTTCTGTTGCTTCGAATTTGGATTCTACAAGGAGGTGATAAGAAGTAATGGTAGAGGTTCAGAAGGAAGATAGTGAGACCTTCCCTTTCCATGTTACTAGTTTTTTTATTCATGTTATTATTTTTTTATCATGTTACTATTTTTTGAGTGAACATGTTATAAATGTTAATATTCAATATTACTATTTTTCGTTTAAATGTTACTATTTTTTTTGTTTAATATTGAATGTTACTATTGAAATATTTACATTGAATATTACTATTTTTTTTATTTTCTCAAATGTTGATATTCAATGTTACTAATATTTTGTGTTTAAATATTACTATTTTTTTATTTTATATGTTACTATTTTTGTGTGTGGCGTGTGTGTGTAGTGTGTGTGTGTGCGCATGGGAGAGATAAAATAGTTTTAATCTATATATGGATATAGATAGATATGAAAAAGAAAAATAATTTTAATATTAGTCAAACTTGTAAAATTTAGGAGCTGTTAGTTTTTAAATTTGATTTACTTGAATAGAACTACTAGGAGTATTTTCGACAATAAAAATTAAAATGGACTTAATATTAAACAAGTTTTTTTGATAGACTTATCACCAAATAAGTCCACAAAGGGGCCAACCTCCAAAATCAATGGGTGAAAATTAATTTTAAATGATGTATTCAAATAAGAAAAGAAAAAATTATTATTTAATATAAGAATATCAATTTTTTAAATACTTAAATTTTATATTTTATCGTGCTTTTAAACACAAGTTATGACTAGTATATAAATATACTAATCATATCCCGTGTGTGAAAGCACAAAAAAATACAAAATTTGAGTGACCAAAAAATTGATCTTATTATATTGAATAACAATTTTTTCTCTTCATTTATTTGATTTATTTATATCAATTATTTTTTTAAAAATATCGATAAAATTTTCTCAAAATACGTAATATTACAAAATTTTCTCAACATCTGTATACTCTTGTATATAGATAATATTTGAAATAAAAATTATGCTAAATTATAAATTAATTAAATATTAAATAATTAAACATATAATAAGATGAATGAAGTGATAAAATTAAAAAGAAAAATATGTAGGATATAAAATTCAACTTCCTATATAATTGATTATATACATCAACTGATGCAATGACTAATGTCACTACAACAAAGATGGAATCAAAGAGTGTTGACAAGTGTCTTAGATTGAGGGTTCGACTATGGTACCGACACTCATTTTTCGATATGGTACCGAAAAAATAAAATGAACGGTAGATATATAACGAAGAACTTCCACCGTTAATCAAACCTATAACTTTTTACCGGCTACCCATTAAGCCTTACAAATTCATAAAAAATAAATAAATAAACTCAGACGAAGAAGAAGAAGAAGAAGAAGAAGAAGAAGAAGAAGAAGAAGAAGAAGAAGAAGGAGTCGCAGATTATAAAATTATTATCATTTATTAAAACTAAAGTTGAGATTATAGTAGGCTTATATCCAAGAACCACAAAGCATCGGCGGAGAAGATGAAACGAGAGGGAGCAAACATATAATCCATAGACTCTGCACAGACGAAGGGGAAAAATATTTTGAGATAGAGAAGAGAAAGTAAGCAGTGAAGACAGAACCAAGTGAGATGCTGCCCCAGAATAACGAAAGCCTTGACATTGATCCTGTGGATAAGGAGAAGACAAACAGGTGACCATCATATTTCCTTTGTTTCTGGAAAACGTAGACCACATATTTGAATAGTCATTGGCATGTAAACTCTAGACTGCTTATTTGTATAAACGGACTGTTTTGGGTTTTGATGAACGTGCTTTAATCCTGTAGTATATCTCTGATCCGTTTCTGCGAATCCTTGTTATGTCATAGAGCCTGAACTGCTTATTTGTAGGCTGCATCATAAAATCCAAAATAGAGTATCTATCACAGAACTTTAATCTTAGACCGCGGCAATTTAATTTGTCATTGATCTTGCTGTAAAAGTTGTCTCGTATGTAGATTGAGAGTGAAAGGGGAAGTATGAGGCTGAGAAGCATTGTCACGGACTCTTTGGTTGGCTAAAGAGTTTGCAACTGCATTTCCTTCGCTATAGGAATGCTGAATTCGGTACTCCAGACTTTGTAGAGTACAAAAAATCTTACAAAAGAGAGCCCAAAATTTCCAAGATAATTTAGACTGCTGCTTGATCAAATCCACAAGAACCAAACTCATTTTATATATAAAGAATACAACTTTTGGGTGTGACATTATTACTTTTATTTGCTTGAAATACCACTATGTTTGGTAAGATTATCAATCTTTTGAGGCAATATTATCACGTTTTTTGGGTTAGATTTACCATTTTTTTTGAGAAGATTACCGCTCTTTGAGGGAACAATTACCACTGTTGAGGTAAACGTATCATTTTTTTGATTAACATTACAACTTTTTGGGTTAGAATATAACTTTTTGGGTGTAACATTATCACTTTTATTTGGTAAAAATACTACTTTTTTGGTAAGATTACTAATTATTTGAGGTTAGATTACCACTTTTGAGGGAAAGATTACTACTTTTTTGGTTAACATTACCATTTTGTTTTTGGGTTAGAATACAACTTCCTTGGACATAAAATACAACTTTTTTGGGTATAAGAATACAACTTTTTTGGATGTAACATTATCACTTTTATTTGATAAGAATACCACAGTTTTGGTAAGATTACCCATTATTTGAGGCAATATTATACTTTTTTGGGTAATATTACTATTTTTTAGGGATGTTTACCACTTTTGATGGAAAGATTACTATTTTTTTAGTTAACATTACCTTTATTTTTTTGAGTTAGATTACAACTTCTTTGCGCTTAGAATACAACTTTTTTGGGTATAAGAATACAATTTTTGAGGTGTAATATTATCACTTTTATTTGATAACAATACCACGTTTTTTGGTAAGATTACCCATTATTTGAGGCAAGATTATCACTTTTTTGGATAATATTACCATTTTTTAGGGATGATTACCACTTTTGAGGGAAAGATTACTACTTATTTGGTTAACATTACCATTTTTTGGGTTAGAATACAACTTGCTTGGGCTTAGAATACAACTTTTTTGGGTGTAACATTATCACTTTTATTTTGTAACAATACCATTTTTTTGGTAAGATTATCCATTATTTGAGGCAAGATTACCACTTTTTTGATTAACATTACCATTTTTTTGAGTTAGAATACAACTTGCTTCAGCTTAGAATACAATTTTTTTGGGTATAAGAGTACAACTTTTTGATTGTAACATTATCACGTTTATTTTGTAAAAATACCACTTTTTTTAATAAGGTTACCATTTAGTTGAGGCAAGATTATAACTTTTTAGGGTAAGATTACTATTTTTTAGGGAAGATTACCATTTTTGAGGGAAAGATTATCACTTTTTTGGCTAACATTACCATTTTTGGGGTTAGAAAACAACTTTCTTGGGCTTAGAATACAATTTTTTTGGGTGTAAGAATACAACTTTTTTGGTGTACTTTTAGAGGTAAAGTTACGGTAAGAATTTATAATCGTACTACTAAATTACCACAACCATGTTCATCACAACCATTACCATGCTCATTTTATGTATAAAGAGCAAAGATATTTTAGATTTTTGACAAAAATATATCATATTGCATTAATTTGTTTCATCACATTTCACTACTGCTAGTTCAACTATTGTAGGGGTGTCCATGAGCCGGATTACCCACAGGTCCCGTTATCCAATCCAAAAAAATAGGTCTGAAACCCGATAGTTGATCCACCAGAGCCTGTGCTCAATATCCTTAAAAAGACGGTTTGAGTTTGACTCCAAACCCATTACCCAACTTGAAGCCCGACCCAAGAGCCCGCCCGCCAAACCCAACTCACCCATATAGCCCGCCTACCTTTAATTTGAAAAAAAGTTATACTTTCAGACTATTAAATTTGAAACTTTGAAATAAGTCTCAAAATGTCAGAATTTAAAGTTTTAAAAATTTAGATACTATAAATAATGTATTATTTTATTTTTCATGTATTAAGCATACAAGTTTAAAGGGTAGAGTAATGCAAATGATAGATAAGTGAATAGGCGCCAACCTAAGTGGGATATATTCATTCTATTAGATGCAGTTCATCTCCTAATTAAAAATAAAATTATTCATTATTTTATTTTTATATATTTTGACTCTATTGTTGATTCAAAAATATAATTTACACAAATATTAAGTTACAAATATATTTATTATTTTTAAATGAAGTTGTATATAAAAAAGTCTGTGAGTAGGCCCGCTCACAAGCCCCTCCCAATAGGCTCGTGGGTTGGGCTGCGAGTAGCCTACCTCTACCCGAAGTCTGGTTCGGTCCCCCCGATAACTCACTTGGGTAAACACTTAGGCCAACACTAGCCCGGCCCGCCCCCAAAAAAATTTCGCTGGCTTAGCCTGGCCCAGCTCATGAACACCCCTAAACTACTGTATCAACAACCAACAATTACAATTACATATAATTGTCACTTCTTGGCTATTTCTTTATTTTTCATAAAAAAAGACTCAATTCTATCCAACCTACTATCGATCACCTTCAGAGACTCCTTTATTTCATTTTTAGTATTTCCAAATTCATCCATCTTTCTCCCCAATCGTACCAGCAAATGTGCAAATATAGTCATTGGAGGAAGATCATTGAATGGAGGAAGACTAGCTGTTGAAGAATTTGGGACATCCTTGGTTGGGGCTTCATCTTCATCCTCATCCTCAACTTCAACTTCATTCTCGATATCAACTTTTGGCTGGTGAGTTTTCTTCTTCTTCCTTTGCCCCAATCTCTTTTTTATTGTCCCACTATAAATTGGATTCATAAGAGTGAAATAAGTGTTGCTTGAGTGAATCACAACTCCACAATCCTCCATAATCTTTGAAATCAAAATTGGGATGGGAGACATCGCCGCCTATCCTTCGTATCTTGTACTGAAAGAATTTCATCAACTATTAAACAATGTAGATCTATACATATACCCTTTTCAATGACATACAAGAGATAAGCTCGATCAAGTCCAAAATCAGCAGTATGTCATCTTAGTCTAGTATTATACCCTACTATATGGTTTAACATCCTATATTTGGGAGTAAGGTCTTTCTAAAAAAATTTTGAATTGTCAACATTCTTACTAAAATTATTAGGTATACCCTCAATTTCTGCATAAACATCTTTCAACTTAAGTATGTCCTTATAATTCTTGAATGGATAGGTAAGTGTATTGTCAGGAATGAAGAGTCGGAGAACTGCCAAAATTTTTGAAACTAAATCTGGGGTTACTTCAAAACATACATTCCTCACAAGCGACTTAAACTTGTGATCACCTTTATCAATATCATACATGTTAGAATAAAATATCTTCACTAATGTATTATATGATTTATCTGTCTTCTTGATATCAACTGCAGAATTCCATTGATAAAGAGAAAAAATAACATCACATCTTACCTCTTTTAATCGATCCAGTAAAACACCCCTCTCCAATAACAAAGGCCTATAATAAAAGTAGTTATCATACCACTGTTTGCAATTTTTGTTGAAGAAAAATATGTCTTTATTGCATATGAGGTTGGATGAACTTGCTGGATTGGGTATAGGGTTGGATGAACTTGATGTATTGAATGAGGGATTAACTGGATTGGTGGAGGTGATATCAATAGTGGGATCCATTGGATTGGTGGAGGTGGGATCAACTTTGGAAGATGGATCAATGGAGGGAGGATGATTACATTTCTTCGTCGATGAGGAATGGATCATTACAGCTCTTATTCCTCTTCATTTTATCACTGGTATCCACAACTTTTGGCCTATACTTCTTTCTGCCTTTGGTCATTATACTCTGTTGTAACAAGAAAAAAATCTTGTAAAAAAAAAGAGCATTAAGATGGATGATTATCTATTATTTTTGAGCAATAACAATTGATGGAGATGTGAGGAAGATAGGATTGCATCACTTTTGAATCATCATTCACAAAAATCATAATTCGTTCAACCCCCAAAACATATCCCTTATGCAACTATGTGCACAAAAATTTAAGAAATTGAGAGAGAGATAACTATGTATACAAAAATGTGATGAAATTGAGAGAGAGAGAAAAAAAAAAGAACCTTGGAGAAGATGAAGGCGGTGGCAATGGCGGTGGTTGATCTGGGCAGTGGCAGTGGCTCTGGTGGCAGTGACTCCGGTGGTAGTGGCGGTGGCGGTGGCGGTGGCGATTGGGTTCGATTCGATTTGGTTGCTGATTTAGGGTTCGAGGCCGTGGCAATGGTTGTAATTTAGGGTTTTGGGTATGCAATCAAGTTGGACTTTCACCGATTTGGGGTTAGATCACTGATTTAGGGTATGCAATTAGGTTAGATCGCTGATTTAGGGTTTTGAGGAGTTGGATTTTTAGTTTCGGGTAATAGAAGAAAAACAAGAAGTTGATTGCTATATGAGCGATCTAACCTGGATCACTTATGTAGCGATCAGGCATTCACGTAGCGCTCAAGTTTGCAGACCAATCTCGATTGCTAGACTAATCTCGATCTCTCAACCAGCGATCAAGATGCCATCATGTCCAATAAATTTCACTTATACCCCTAAATTATCACCTTTTTTCAAAATTTTCCTCATATTTTTTAAATTACACCCTCAACTATGTAATTAGTTTCATATTACCCCAATTTTTTTTACCTATTTTTATTTAACACCAAAGGTGTACCCAAATGTGATAATTTTGTTATAATTTATTTAGTGATGAAAAATTTTGTTGTAATAATTTTAACTCAACCCAAAATATAATCCCAAAAAATAGCAATTTTACCCAAAAAATAAGGCAATATAACATTACTGTAACATTTTAGTAATAGCCAAAAAAAATGTGCTAAACTTTAGTTGTAATTTAGCCTAAAATAGTGGTGAACTTAATAACCTAATCCTAACCTCTAATATTTTTAACTTAATCGTAAATTTAATGTCACTCAATAACCCTAAATATTATAAAATTGTCTTTATATTTTTATTTCAAGTTTAAATATGTTAAATAATTATCATTTTTTAAAACTAATTTTAATTTCTGTTATCACTTAAAATAGTGGTGAACTTAGATAACCTAATCTAACCTCCTAATATTTTTAACTTAATCTAAAATAGTAAATTTAATGTCACTCAATAACCCTAAATATTGTAAAATTTTCCTTATATTGTTATTTCAAGTTTAAATATGATAAATAATTATCATTTTTTAAAACTAATTTTAATTTCTATTATCACTTAAAATTCTTAGATAATATCACTTAATATAAAATGGTAAATTTAATGTCACTCAATAACCCTAAATATTGTAAATTTTTTCTTATCTTTTTATTTAGGTTTAAATAAGATAAATAATAATTATTTTTTAAAACTAATTTTAATTTTTATTATCACTTATTTTTAAAGTGTATGGCGGTTTATTTATTTTTAAAATATATACCGATTTCACTGATTATGGGGTTTGATAGGTTTGAGAGCGTACAAATGGCAACTCTACATTCATTTTAGTTTTTCGTTATCATACCATTTTCACCTTGCCGTAGTGAAGCCAACTCCCTAGATTGAACCAAAAAAATTGCTAAAGTTTGAACAAGTGTCTATGGTGATGCAAGCATTGCATCACCTAATGCCATCACTCATGTGATGTGAGCCAAGAAGATTGGGGTTGGACTATAGTACCGAAAAAAGATAATGAACAGTTTACAATTGATGAAAAACTTCCACCGTTGATCCAGCCTGAGACTTTTTACCGGCTACCCACTTACCCTTAAAAAATGGTCTTTTCATTAAAAAAAAAGAAGATGGTCTTTTCATTAAAAAAAAAAAGACTAAAGAAGAAGAAAGATCGATGGAGTTGCAGAATTGTTTTTGTCCTATGAGATTATAAAATCATCCTTGTCATTTATTAAATTTATAAAAAAAAAAAAACTCCACTTAGAAGAAGGAGAAAGAAGAAGATGGAGTTGCAATAAATTTAGCTGGTCCAGTGATCAAGACATGGAGTTGCAGAATTAGCGTGAATTAAATAATTGTCTGATATAATTTATTTAGCGTGAAAAACATAGAGTTGCAGAATTATTTTTATCCCTATGAGATTATAAAATCATTATCATCATTTATTAAAACTAAGATTGAGATTATAGTAAATTCATAAAAAAAAAAAACTCACACGACGAAGAAGAAGGATAAAGAAGAAGATGGAGTTGCAAATTTGTTTATATCCCTATGAATCCTTTATGAGATTTTAAATTATCATCATTTATTAAAACTAAGGTTGAGATTATAGTAACCTTATATTTAAAAAAAATAAATACACATTTTTTGTTAACATTAACTTTTTTGGTTAAGAGTACCACTTTTTTTGTTACATTACAATTGTTTTGGTTAAAAATATCACTTTTTTGGTTAAAAATATCACTTTTTTGGTTAAAAGTACAACTTTTTTGGTTAAGAGTACAATTTTTTAGGTTAAGAATATCACTACTTTTGTTAAGAGTACCATTTTTTTGGTAAAGAGTACCATTTTTTTGGTAAAGAGTATCACTTTTTTGGTTAAGAGTACCACTTTTTTGGTTAGTATTACCACTGCTTTGGTTAAGAGTACCACTTTTTTGGTTAATATGACCATTATTTTGGTTAAGAGTACCACTTTTTTAGTTAAGAATACCACTTTTTTGATAAAGAGTACTACTTTTTTTGTTAAGAGTACCACTTTTTTGATTAAGAGTACCACTGTTTTGGTTAAGAGTACCACTTTTTTGTTTACTATGACCACTGTTTTGCTTAAGAGGATCACTGTTTTGTTTATGAGTACCACTTTTTTGGTTAGTATTACCACTGCTTTGATTAAGAGTACCACTGTTTTGGTTAAAAGTACTATTTTTTTGGTTAAGAGTACAACTGTTTTGGTTAAGAGTACCATTTTTTTGTTAATATGACCACTATTTTGATCAAGAGAACCACTGTTTTGTTTATGAGTACCACTTTTTTGGTTAGTATTACCCCTGCTTTGGTTAAGAGTACCACTGTTTTAGTTAAGGGTATCACTTTTTTGGTTAAGAATACCATTTTTTTGGTTAAGAGTACCACTTTTTTGGTTAAGAGTACCATTTTTTTAGTGAAGAGTACCATTATTTTGGTTAAGAGTACCACTATTTTGGTTAAGAGTATCACTTTTTTGGTTAACATTACTACGTTTTTTGTAAACATTACGACTATTTTGGTTAAGAGTACCACTGATTTGTGTAATATTACCATTTTTTTTTGTTAAAATTACCATTGTTTAGGTTTAGAGGTTAAATTACCATTTTTTGGGTTAATATTACCATTTTTTTGGGTTAATATTACCACATTGGATGATCGATCAAGAACACGGATCAAAATGATCAACTGCGATCAAGAGCAATCAGGAAGGATCAAGATGATCAACATCGGTTGAGCAATCAGGTTCGATCACGGTATCGATCAAGGGATGAAGTAGCGATCAAATGCTCTTGAGATCTAGTAGCGATCAAGGTACTGATCACGGGATCAATTTCATTCAATTTATATTTAATTTATAAATGCTATTGCGATCAATCAAGGTACCAATTACGGGATCAAGTAGCGATCACAGATCAATTTTATTTGATTTATATTAAAAAATTTAAAAAAATAAAAAATAGATTAACATCATATCCATTCAATTAACCCTTAATTCAACAAATTAAGATCTGAAATAATCGTCAATTAATCCAATTCGTCCAATTAACCATCAATTAATCAAATTAACATATAAAACTATTTAAAAAATATTCAATTTATCAAATTAGTTTTTTTTTTTTAAAAAAAAAATTGGCATTAGGCCAATAACATATCGACAGATGGATAAATGAAATTTTTACACGATA